CGCGAAAAAAAAAATTAAGAATGGCACACTCAATGGAGATATTGCATTTGCAGTTCAAACGCATGCTCAACAAGGAACTGAGCCATTTCTCCGAATCCAGCAAATCCGGCAACCAGATCTCTGAATACATCTGCTCCACTTTCTTGGGTATGTATACACTTTAAGTACCTACTAACTTTAAAAAAAATAGATGTAGTGTTACATAAATGATGATAAGGGAAGCATTAGGGTAAATGTTGGTTTGAGTTATTAGAGTGTCCTCATTCGAAATATCGATCCTGTAAAAAATAGAGCACTACCAGACAAGGTCTTTAATTATCTTGTTGAAAAGGTCAATATGAAGAACCTCATTTGTATTTTCATTGAAAGAAAGTTTGCATGTATGTATATAATGTATTTATTTTATTTGTAGTTGTAATGTTTTACTAAATTATGATATTCTGGAAAGGAGGATTATAAAAGATACAGTTCGTTTTGAAATACCTTTGTTTTAAAGGAGGAAGAAGGAATTATAAAAGTAAAAAAAACTTGGTTTTTGTTATGTACAACTCATAGTTAATACTTTACATGATTAGTAAAATAGACTTTTGTTTAACCATTGACTATTTATTAACCATAGTAATTATCAAAGATTTAAGACACAACGCCAGCTTTTTAGCTACCTACTTCATATATTTTATAGCAGTCCAATAACATTTCATCTTAACTTTGCTGCCAAAATAAAAATCAATACTGAATTGGCAGACAATGTAGGACAAACGTCTACGCAATAATGTATTTGTCCATGTCTTCCTTTGTACTAGTCTTTTGAAATTGCTATCTGAAGTTTGCTGTTGAACTTAGAACAAGATAAAGATGGTAATACTCAAGTCAAAGCCTCTTTAAGCCAGTAGGAAAAAATGATAAGGATATCTTTTGAACTGTCCTGACCCATTTTTCAGTTCGTTCACACGATTATATAATCATTTCAAGCATATGCCGCTTTTAATATGAATATACTTAAAGTTGATTACATTAAATGTATGTGTTATCAGCTACCCATTTAACTTTGAGACTAGCGTATCGCTTGAGAGGTAAATAAATACACTTTATCAAAATTGCTATCAAAATGCAACGAAAGCTCATCGACCGTGTAAACAAAACAAAGATAAGTAAAGAAACTTGTAAATCAACTAATATATTAAATATTTCAAAACTATTGACAACCACCTTCGAGGTTTGTAACTACTACGAATATAACCTAATTGATAATAGCTGCTCCTCCGAGACCTAGTCTAGACCATCGGCTGGTGACCGTCGTAATCAGTAATGTTGATAATTTTGTATTTACAAGCTATAGTATACGGAGAAATTGAACTAAACGCTTGCACAAAGTTTATTTGATTAGACCAATGAATGTATTGAGGGCATTGGCGAACTGGCGTCGTAATAGTTGGCTAATTGATTTATTTGGCCTTAGCCGGTGAGTACCAACGTGTGCTGACGTTAGCCGCATCCCTGTCATTAATTTATTATCTAATACTATTTGAGTATTATTATCTATACCTTTAACTTCCTGTTGAATCTTTCCTATTATGTCACAATATATTGTCCATAAGATCCAAGAGTTTAAGCAACGATCTGAGAAATGCTATTTGGTACTTTTTCTCTGTTATGAATTAAAAAACGATAAAGAGAATAACATTTAAGAGAATCTTTGTTTTCTATTTATTCTTTTGCCAATGAGTACGCGATACCGAGAAACTGAAACAATGGCGTTTGCCGAAATATTTGTTTACAATAAACATCTATTTTTATTCCGTTTCGAATAACAAGGCCAACGAAACTCAATGATTGACATGAATTGTTTTTGTGTAGAAATTAAATAGATAAATCTATTTTAGTGATGTAGTGAATTGTACAAAAAGAATGAGCAATAAACAACTAACTTTTGTAAAGAGTAATGATTTTGTATGATGTACTCGGTATCGATGAATGAAAGAAAAATGTCAACAAATTGATACTTGGGCTTAATTGTAAAGATTTATTTTCTAATTGCGTTGTTTTTCGTATCACTGCCATAGATTAGATAGAACCAGGTCGCATAGTACTATCTTACCTGATAACAGGTACAGTAATCCTCCGCGTAATGCACATGCCTCTATAAATTATATTATCGTTATTTTTCATATCCGTTCCCTACAGTTTAAAATTAATAACACTTTTTTTAACAATAAACGTATCCATATGTTAATGTTTATCACACATAGATATCATACCGATACAGTGACCCAGAATTGTATCAATCAGTGATATTATAAGCACGACATGTGTTGCCTACTTTCTTTCAACACGAGTACCTATTGACATCATTTGTGGCCCGATAAAACTCGCTAATAAAGTAATTTTTACATAATGCTCTTGTAATAGACGCGTTTATTTTTATCGAATATCAAACTTTTTGCCTTGTAATGTGAGTGCTCTAATTATATGCTGGAATTGATATCGTATTGTTTCCTTATCTCGTATTCCTTATATCTTTCACCTTGACTGATCTCAGGATGTGTATCGAAAACATTGAGAGCGACTATAATTTGCACACAAATTGCTCACTTTCAGAAACGAATACGACGTAAATAAGAAATGTTGTAGTTAATCAACATTTTACATCTTTACAGATAAACAACAAGAGTTGGACTTGCCGTCCTTGCAAGTTGAAGAAAACACTGAACGCACCAAGAAGAAGGAAAAGCCGCGTCATGGCGGACCTGGAGGAACCATGTCACAAGTAAGTCTTAAATAGCGACAATATCAGTATATTTAATTCATTATAATTGAAATACAGATAACTGCCAAATAAATTAAACATTTATTAACCTCCCTACATATCCTGTTTACGAAGTAATTTCTTTGCAATAATTTTCCTGTTGCACATGTACATACCGTTTTTAATTAATTTCGTAATTTTATTTCCAGATATCCGGTGTAAAGAGAACACTGACACACACAAACAGCTTCACCGGCGAGCGCGTGCCGCGATACGGCGTGGAAACACCGCACGAGGAGGAGCTCGGTCGTTTGCTTGGCGAGCTGGATCGCTGGGGCGTCGACATCTTCCGCATCGGCGATTTGACGTGCGGTCGCCCGCTTACAGCCGTCGCCTACGCCGCATTCACATCGCGCGAACTCCTCAACACGCTGCAGATCCCTGCACGCACTTTCATAGCATTCGTAGTCACTCTCGAGGAGCACTATGTGCGTGACAATCCTTTCCACAACTCGCTGCACGCCGCTGACGTGACACAGTCGACGAATGTGTTGCTCAATACGCCGGCACTCGATGCAGTATTTACGCCAATAGAAGTGTGCGCCGCATTATTTGCCGCCTGCGTGCACGATGTCGACCATCCCGGTCTCACCAATCAATTCCTGGTCAATTCCAGCTCGGAGCTCGCTCTCATGTATAACGACGAGTCGGTACTCGAGAACCATCATCTCGCAGTTGCTTTTAAATTGCTCCAGAACGACGGTTGCGACATCTTCATCAACTTGCACAAGAAGCAGAGGCAGACGCTGCGCAAGATGGTAATTGATATGGTGCTCTCCACGGATATGTCAAAGCACATGAGTCTTCTTGCTGATCTCAAGACCATGGTTGAGACTAAGAAAGTGGCCGGTAGTGGCGTCCTGCTGCTCGATAACTACACGGACAGGATACAAGTGCTGGAGAATCTCGTGCATTGCGCAGATCTGAGTAACCCAACCAAACCTTTACCGCTGTATAAGCGCTGGGTCGCTTTGCTCATGGAAGAGTTCTTCCAGCAGGGTGACCGTGAGAGGGAGCAAGGGATGGATATAAGCCCGATGTGCGACAGGCACAACGCTACTATTGAGAAATCTCAAGTTGGTTTCATCGACTATATCGTGCATCCGCTGTGGGAGACTTGGGCGGACCTCGTCCATCCTGACGCGCAGGACATTCTGGACACACTGGAGGAGAACCGCGACTACTACCAGAGCATGATACCACCGTCGCCGCCGCCGGCACCCGTCTCCGCTTCTCATTCGGGTGCCGATGACGATCGTCCCGAGCAGATACGCTTCCAGGTACGTCTTTATTTCACCGATTTTATTTAAACGTGAGAATAATAGATTATGGCCATATGGCAAGGATTAAATTAATATACCTACTTTAATGTATTGACACCGGTATTGCGCACAATAATCTCATTATCTATTGTATTATACACTACGTATCGGAGCATAAATATTACCGTTCTTGTTTGTCACAAGTATAAATTAGACCTGGAAGTACGAAGTAGATCATTCTGATTGATTCTTTTCGTCTTTAACATGTGCATATTGCCTACCAATGTTCCAAAATCTCGAAGATTTTTTTTTTTTTGGTTCATCTAACGTTATGTGACCAGACCAGAGTGCATTTCATAGACAACCGAAAACAGAAATACAACGGGTGAAACGTGATGAAGGAAAGATGTCAAAATTAGAGAGAATATTTAGATTGGTAGAGTCAGTTGCTTATTCTTATATTTTGTTGTTACAGGTAACATTAGAGGAAGGCGAGGGCTCCGAGGAGTGCGAGGGGGAAGGAGATGGTGGGATGTGACGGAAACTACTAGGAATCTGCAAGAAACTCTCTGAGAAGATGCAGGTGTGGTGGAAGCTCTGGCAGTAGACGCCCCGGGCGGCGCCCGTGTCGGAATAGTAATACACTTGTTAACGCTTAACGTCGGAGTCGTTTGCAGCACGCGCACGCTCCGACACTATTTATATGAATACTACGCATTGTTGTCTAGAGTTACCTAACGACTCAATATGTCCCTCCAATGACTGTGTAACATTCGATCGTCTAGAGTTTTTACTATCCTTTTGTTTTGTCGTGTAACCAAAGAGTTGTGTGGTGGTTTGGCCGAGTCTGTCTCTCTCCCGTGTCCCTCGTGTCAGTAGTCGATATTCGCTCGTAACGTTACGGTGTAAGTAGCATTAGAGGTCGGCGCCGCGTCACCGGCGCTGGCTAAGTAAGGACATTGAAAACGCTTATTAATTGGTATGAAAGGGTAATTTATATTGTCATATCATCCACTTTCTCATATTTAATACGGGTTTGCGATAATGATGTTATTCACCAAAATATTATAACATTATAAGTATCCTAATATAAAATACTATTTTAAGGTAAATTTTAAAAACGCCTTTTCGGAGTTGTTGTTGTATCGTTTTTTCTGAATATTTAATATTCGACATGTCTCTCGCCGAACGACACTACCGAGAACATCTTGTTAAATGGCTTTACTTGATTTGGATAACCTTGTAGCACCTCATTTCTAACGAAGGATCGCTGGCGATCCCTTTATTTTCTCTTTAGAGTAATGTATTATTTTTGTAAATTACGTATTTTAATTCTAGTTCCATTCACCTAAATAGTCATCTTAAACTTAGGTATATTTAAATATCTTCGCGTATGCAACTAACGGCTTGAGTCTTTAAACCGAACTAATAGTACTAACAGAGGCGTGGTTTGCGACAGTACTAATTAAGAGGCATACGATAGCGGCATGGGCCGGGTCTTGCAATAGTACTTCTAAGTAGGTAGTTTCCGAAACTGCGCACAACGCTGTTCTCTCTCGTATCAATGTAAATGCTCATTTCACACAACTCGAAGTATATCAATATATATGTATCTGTATCATGTAAATGTGCCTAGCTTGTTCTCGCGACGCCTCAGATCTGATTCCGCGGCTCGCATCCTTTACTTGTAGCCAATACCAAAGTAGTTATTAGGTTTTAGATGTCTCAACCCAATAATCCACCTTGACTACACTCATTCGCGTATTCATTTACAGCGGGGGTGTAATACTTAATTACCTGTGTTATGTGCATTTCATAGGAGCCGTCATCTTAGTTTACGATTTTATTATTTGTGAGCTGGTCTCTGTATTTTATGTACTCAAAAGATATTTACCATAAACGATCGTTTAAATAATTTCTCGCGATCATATTGTTTTTTGCAATAGAATAAGAACATTTATTAACTACCGACAGTATTACCCTGTTATTCGCACTAATCATTCATCGGTGTTAAGAATGAAGGTCCAATGTACAATATTTTCGTAGGTAAATTAAGATTCAACTGGCGACCAATTCTGTCGCCTTTAACGTTCTTAAAAAAGTAATTTCTTATTTAAAAATTTCACAGTAGAATTCGATGTGTCAAAAATGACGAAAGTAATTTGGAACGCTTATCTACAGTATGTATGTATGTTTAAACAAATCATTACGCTTATAAACGATGGTTTAAAGTTATGGTAAAATAACAATTGTGTATGTATGTTAATGTTGGGTAAATATATTTGTACTATATTATGATCTGTGTAAAGTACTTTCTTACGTACTCAGTAAGTACAATACCATATTCATTCGTAATTTAAGAAAACACTGCATGTTGGACAAAATATTAGAATTACCGATATTGTTCTGGAATACTTCCAAATTCGTCAAGTGTCGTTCACATTTGTAATTTTTAGTCGTTACTGTTTAATTTATCTGTGGCAGAATTATGTAACAGCTGCACTGCCGATTATTTTGATAAAATTCTGATTCGATGTACTTTTTGCATCCTTTACGAATTTGGAACAGTTTACTTTTAAAAGTTACAATATAGCAGATGTTATTCCTATAACCTAATTGAAAATACTAAATTGTAACTAGATTTAAATATGCTTGTTGTGAAAACTCTTCTTTGCAGTTAATAGAAATTATTACATGTATTAAATATTTATTACTGTAAATGTATAATCAAATAACAAAAGGTGGTCATGATATATCCCCTATCATTTAATCGTATTGTGTTTGTTTTGTTGTTTTATCTGTTCATCTAACTCGATTTTTACCAAAGAGCAAAGTTCAAAGGTTTTATGTGATATTTTATTGAGTTGGCTATATGTACATCTGGCATGTCATAATTTTACTTGAATCCTGTAGTCTCCCTGAAGCTTGGAGCGCTATTTTATTGATGTGGAGAACTATCGCTAATATAAATAATACTTAGATAAATTATTATAAATACCGAGTTAAAAGTGTGCAATGCTGGACATTTGCATTACTTTTTATGTTTAAATTAAATAGCTTGTACTAGTTTTAATGAATATTTGAGTTGAATTAAAGAATATTAATGTATTTAGAATAAAAAGATATTGAAGAAAAAAAGGTGTTTAATTTATTACCCTTTATTTGAACTTAATACGACGAACATACACTCACTGTGCGATTTTCAACTTATTCAAAAGAACTTTTCGTGTATTTCACCTAAATGGTTAGTTTTTATCAATAACTATAACGCAGTTGTTGATCATGAACATGTCTAATAAAACCCATAAAAACTTTTTTTAGATCTTAAGACAGATTTCAAAACCACGAAGAGAAAATAACGTGCAATTTAAGATTGACTTCATGTAAGTTTTCTTTATTGAAAAACTAGCTTTCGCCCGCGACTCCGTCCGCTTGGAATTAAAAAACAACAAAAATGAGGAGCCTAAGTGTTCTAAATCCCATACATCTATACCAAATTTCATCAAGATCCGTTCAGCCGTTTAGGCTACAAACTCTAACAAACATCGGTCTAAACTTTCGCATTTATATTATTAGCATGATTAAAAATGTTTTTACAGGTAGGTATGGTAATCTTGTTAAAATATAATGTTATTAACTTACCAAAAACTGAACTAATTTTTAATTTTTTTTCAGAGTTGCCACTCTTTGCAGTGAACACTGGGCACTCAGCGACCATTGCAGCTCAGACCTCTGTTCGGTGTTCGCTCAGATTGCAGATATATGAGAGGCTCACCATGCAGCAGAACTTGCTACATAAAGCTTAGAGTTAAAGTAGTATTAACAGTCCGTGGAAAAAAATGTTCCAAATGAGATTACAAAATAAATGTAAGAAAAAATAAATTATTAATGTAATAATTGTTGTTGTTGCTTGTTTTTTTCTATATAATTAAGCCTACACCAAGTAATCTAACAATAAACATCACTAAATATCGATATCGATATATATGCTATTGCATCACTAAAGACATCTGTCAAACCTATAACACTGAATTAATTGGTAAAAAATGTTGTCATTACAAAATAAACTCCTATCTTGTACATTTTATACATCTATGTTACATACTCTTTGAGTCAAAAACCATAGACACAGTCACAGTAACTACTCTGTGTAAATGCTTTACTTATAAAATAAACTGAAAATCCGGTATGCAATAAAATAAACTATACAGTTAAACATTATTAACGACGATTAGATTTATTTATCTTATGGTTCTACTTTCCAATCTCAAGAAAAATGGTGAAATTAACAACAGAACTCATTCAAAACTCAATGCAATATATGAATCCATGCCGAGATCGTGAGTTGGATCTTAGAGGTTAGTTGTTTACCATAAGTGAACCTTTATTGTTAGAATTAAAATTATAATAGTTATTACCTTTTTAAGAACTACAAATTACAAACATTTTGATATGGTTTCAGGATATAAAATACCGCAAATAGAAAATCTGGGAGCTACCTTGGATCAGTTTGATACAATCGATTTCTCAGCTAACGATGTTCGTAAACTTGATGGATTTCCACTGTTAAAAAGATTAAAATGTTTGTTTTTTAATAATAACCGTATAGTGTAAGTACGCTTTATACTTTTTATATATTTTGCACTGTACTTACTATACTTGGTCCAACAATTTGCATTTTATGATTTTTAGGAGAATAGGTGAAAATCTGGAACAATACCTTCCGAATTTGGAGTCTCTAATTTTAACAAATAACAATATTGTTGAATTGGGGGACTTAGATCCTTTGATAACACTACCTAAATTAAAAACATTATCACTGATGCACAATCCCGTGGCCAATAAACAACATTACAGGTAATGGTACTTAAGTTTGTATAATTCATATTTCATCTGCAACTTACCTACTGTTGCCCGATGAGCCCATCGGCCCACACAACTTATCAATTTTCATAAAGCATAATATAGAAGCCACCTAAATATTATAGTGATATCAAGTATGTTAACTTGCTCAAAACCTTCTATGAAAGTATCAAAGAAATTTTACATTAAAATTGCCTTTTTTTAGCTACTAACAGTCACACCTCTATAAACTTTCTACAAACAACAACATTCTTGATTTCAGAGCCTATGTAGCATTTAAATTCCCAGAACTAAGATTGCTAGATTTCAGAAAGATTAAGCAAAAAGAAAGGGATGAGGCAAATACCTTATTCAAGAGTAAAAAAGGCAAGGAAATGCAAAAAGAAATTTCAAGAAAAGCAAAAACATTTGTACCTGGAGGGAATATGCCTGATCCTAAAGTTACAAGTTAGTGTTAACATTTTGTTTAAATCTATAACTACATAATAATCATTAATAGGCATATTTTGAAACCTCTAATATAATTATTTGAAATACAATTATTTTTAGATTTGAATCCTCAAGAGATTCATAAGATTAGAGAGGCTATCAAGAATGCTTCATCCTTGCAAGAGGTTGAAAGACTAACAAGAATGTTGCAGTCGGGACAAATTCCAGGACAGAAGCCATTGCAACCTCCAACTCAGACAAATGGTCAACGTAAGTTTAGTAAACGCTATGATAATACACCAAAACCACAATGCAAACTTAACTACTCCCATAGTCATTGTGAATTAAATCAAGACAGGGATATTTGCTAGTAAAATTAAGACATTTGTATGCTTTCAGAAAATGAGGAAGAAGAAATGGAGACTGAACAAACTGGAAATTGATGAAAGCCCTTATAATTCATTATTTTTAATAGCTGTAAGAACAGATATTACATTAAGGTTGTAATACTCGTGTTTCCATTGCAAACTTCAACCTGAAAACCGTAACTTTCTAGATTTTTAGCTACAAGAACAGATGCTAATAAAAATAATGCTTTTTGCGTTATTTTAAGTATTAAGGTGTTAAGAACAGATGGTAACAATCAGTTTATTTTGCTACAAAAGACAGATACTGCAATTGCGACACTAAAAATGAATCATAAAACAAATCTTGATACATAATAGTATTGTTTGTGCTTTGGTTCAAGGGTGTGTATGAACTCATTTGTGCCAAATTGCATTTATTTTTATTACATGCTAATCAATCTATACTAAGTACTAAACTTAACAACCACCAACTAAATATTAAAATGCCAAGGGTGATGGTGAATCAAACTCTTTGGTAATTATTAAAATCTGGTAGATGAATTAAAAAATGTCTGTTAATAGTGAATTTTAACTAGAAGTGGTACAAATCAGGATCAGTTCAACACAAATATTGGTAAAAATATTTTGTGCCTATAAGTAAAGGTGGGTATAGCACAAACATGTATACTAAAATGTATACTACTCTGTTCTATATTTGTATAGCATTCCTGCTTAGTATTTTTTTTATTGCTTCTAACCATAAAGTAGTTGGTTTGTCATGTTTTTTGTGTTACCTCATTACCTGAAGCAACATTTAAACCAAATTACGAAATCAGTGACCAACTAATATGAAGTTCAAAGCATTTTTAGTGCAGTGCAAAGTTCTATATTTTTCCAAGAAATAAAAACATTAAAAGCAATATCTTATGTTTTATTTAATTGTATCATCATTTTACTGTCCATAATTTGTACCTTAATGTCATTATACTAGTCATTAAAAATTCTTAAAATAGATTTAAAAACATTTACAAAATTTCGAATACAACAGTTCATCATTTCCAGCATCCAAATAAACTGTATACACTGTAGGTAGAAGGATGGGTCTGCCTAATAGTTCCTTTATCGTCGGCCGCTTCTCTGGTATCACCGACAGCATCGAGTCTACGAGGTCTTGGAGACCTCTATCATAAACTGTCATGTCAATTGGATGGACGTTCCCACTTGTTATCACCTTCACCAATCCCACTAGTGACTAAAGATAAACAATTAGAGAATATTAAAGGCTCATTTAGATATTTAATACATCAAAATAGTCAAGCTATAATAAATGAAAAAAAAGTGTGGCCATCTTAAACAAATTTGGCGGCAGACATGAAGTGAAGGCAATTGAGATATAGCCAGAGACAAAACACAGCACTGTAAACGTCCTCTGCCCCACTTTGGGGACATAAGACAAGAAGAAGTCATCAACAAACGCCAAAATAAATTAACAAAAGCTAGTATATAGAAACTAACATGTTTTTATATGATTTAGGTCACAATTCATGCATTTAGGGCAGAAGGTATAATGACAATTAATTGGAATGTATCGTTTTTACTGACCTCCGAATCAAAAGCCCGCTTGTGTGTGCACATTTCATATAACAGACACCCAAGCGCCCACACGTCGCTTTTGGTGTCATACGGTTTACCCTCGCAAAGTTCAGGTGCTAGATAATAAGGAGTGCCAATCACTGTTGAAGTTTTCTTTGCACTGAAAAAAACACATAATGTTATTTACGTTACATAACAATTTCAATCGAAATAAACGATTTGTTGCTAGCTTCCGTCCGCGTGGAATAAATAGAAAACAAAAACAGTTTTTTTAGTATGTAAGAAATGAAAGAATGTTCTTCCAGATTCCAGACTATCTTCTACATCTAAAGCAAATTCCATGATCCGTTCAGCAGTTTGAGCTTATAACTCTTACAAACATCCATCTAAACTTTCGCATTTACAATATTTGTAAAATTATACCCAACCTAGCCAACATCTTTGAAATTCCGAAGTCTCCAATTTTAACAATAACACCATGTGTTCCAGTTAGTAAGATATTTTCTGCTTTCAAATCTCTGTGGATTATATCTAAATTGTGTATGTAGCGTACTCCCAAAAGGACTTGACTAAAATAAAATAGAATTTCCTGGAATTAAAGTTTTAAATTAAAGTAAGTTATGATCTCTTTAAAGTTAAACCTTAACAATTAGTATTTATCACCGTCTGTTTGATTAAATTCGGACATCGTTCAAACATGTATTCTGCTAAGTTTCCTTTTGTCGCATATTCCATACAAATCATAACGTGTTTTTCTTCGTAATAACAATTATAAAATTTAATTATATTGGGATGGTTCATTGTTGCTAAAATTTTAATTTCATTGGCTATTTCCTAAAACAATACACGTACAATTCATTAACCAAAAAAAAATTTTTTTATATAATAATAGTTGGCAAACACGTAAGCGGCCACCTAAATCCACCGAAATGGAAAGCGATAGCTGCCCATAAACAATTGCAAATGCGTTGCCTACCCTTAATTGACGGAGGAGGAAACGCACATAAAGAGGACATTTCCCCTTCCTATGCGTCTTGTCCACCGTCAAATCCACTTTTCCTTCCCATCCTTCCCTCTTAAGAAAAGGGTGGAAAGGGACCAAAATTAGGCCTCCGGCACCACACTCATGAGACGAAACAAAAAATTGCTTCCGCTTCAAGCCTGTTTTCTGTGTGGTCGTGGTATTACACCGGGCGACCCGAGCCATTCGTGCGAAGATGAAAGCGGGCTCTACCACTGTTGATTTGCACAGAAGCTACGTATAACATAATATAATGATATTAAAATATACAATGATTTTAAAATTACAACATAGCGTACCTTATTGTGGTTTTGTAATTTCGTATTTAGTTCAATATCCTTCACTACAGCTAAGGACTTTTTATTTTGTTTTTCACATAAGTAAACATTTCTAAAAGTTAATATTTCTGGTTAAAATTTTGCATACAAAAGCATTCATAATTTAATTTAAAAAAAACTTACCCATACGTGCCCTTGCCTATTGTCCGTAGAACTATTAAATTATGCAATTTAAACCTTTCTGTAATATCCATTTTGCTTAAGTTAACATAGTCAATTTAACGGTTGCACTTCTCTTCATCACATTGACATATTTGTATCTACCCGAATATTTTTATTTTTCTGACTAAATGTAATAAAATTGGTGTGTAGAATATGGTATTAAAAAAAATACATTTCGTGATCATGACGTATTTTTCTTAAAGATTTTTTGGAAAAAAATATTAAATATGAATACAAAAAACTAGTATTTTATGACGACAAATTAATAATAATTTAATCGATAAATCTTAATATGCAGTACGTCATTTTGTAAATAATTACCTTGACAATTTACTGACTACAATATGCCTAGGCAGATTACAAACAAACCGAATTCTCGATCGGTCCATTACCATATTGTATCGGAGTAACGGTAAAAACATTTCATACTTCTTACGAATAGCTATCACTAAGCTTTGGTATCGATATTACCATGTAGATAAATCAATACAGTAGATTCTGTCTTAATTTGGATCGATAGAACTCATCGAGTTACTATTGTTAGATATTTCGACACATATGACACATATGACGGACGGCCATATTGACAATACTTGCAAATTACTTTAAAACAAACAAACTGAACTCCAATGCGACAACGCAATACTTGAAAAAGCAACATTAATGATAAAATTAAGAATAATAAAATATGAATGCAAAGGTAATTTAAAAAATTGGTATAGTATCGTGCTTCTGTGCTACCAGATACAGATATTACCGCGATACAATCGTTGAAAATCGCATCAAAGTCTTAGTTATAATTTATTTGTAAAATAAAACTTAAACTAAAATCTCAAGGATAAAAACACCGGAAAAAATGTATTGGTATTTTAGATTATTATATAACACACTACAGGCCTACAGGCCACAAGTTAACAACTGGTACTTTTCCATACTCTTTGATTAATACTGGTATCACTGCAATGCAGCAGAGGATCCCGAAATGACATGTCTTATCGTCTTCATAAGATTTTTAACTCGGCTACATACAATAAAGAACATTTGAAAACAAAACTATCATCATTTCCATATAGTGGATTAAACTTACAGTTTCATCGTAACTGAAAATAATAATTGCTTAGTAAAATGGGGCAAATAATGGGTTCTTATGGTGCCCGAAATGTCGATCTTTACATGGATGATAAACCAACTTTTGATCCTCAAGACGGATTTTCTTTTGAACGTAAACAACGAGGTACATAACACAATTAAATAAAATAAACAAAAGATAAATTGTTATTAACAGTTTATGACAGTAATTGCTATTTTTCTCTTTTTACGTGTTACATAATTTGATAGGTTGTTATATTTTTATTATATGCCAGTATCATTTAGAATACTTGTGTAAAGGTTTGATAATTATACAAATAATATTATGATAATGTGTCAATAATACTATGTTTAACCTTCAGAAATGTTAGCGCGAGATGAAGATTTAATTTCGGCAAGAATACCTCCATCTAAACGTGACTACTGTTCTCATCATTTACTGGAATATCAAGTTTGTCGCTACAAAAACATGCCAATGTTGTACCGATGTGCTCATGAGAAACACAACTATTTGAACTGTGAGCACCAAGAGTAAGTATACAAATATAATTTTTGGGCTATGGGTTTGTCTTTATTACACTCCAATGATTTTTTCAGGGTTGTATTCCAAAAATCAAAGATCCCATTGAAAAGCCAACTTATGCCATTACTATAGGATTTAAAATATGACAATATGTACCTACTAATTGTTTTGTTAGCTATCTTTTTGAATGTATTTAATTGCTTGTTGTCTTAACAAGAAACACAAACGAGGTTTAGGCTAAAAACAATCTGTGCTCGGCCACCTCAAGCCCGGTGAATCTGTAAATAAGAGGCATTTAGGCGTTTATCAAGGCAAACTGGCCATTCAGTCACAAAAAAAAAACAAGAAACAAAGTTTGCTTTACCTTAGTGATGGAAAGAGAAAGTTTACATTATACTGCATTTTAATTCAAAGTCCAGTCTTAAGTTACACTCTCATTTTTCTTCTAAAACATTATTGTTATTTTACAGTTATGTGCTCCGCATGAAGGAGTTTGAGCGTGAACGTCGTTTGCGACTTCGTGAAAATCGTCTTGTTGGTGTTGCTTAAAAGTTTTTAGAATTTTCCTCTGAATATTGTAAATAAAATAGTTTGAAATTATATTATAATTGTTTTATAAATCTACAATTATTTTCTCTATTTTGGATGAAGACAACAAAATAATTCACACTCCCAACCCAGAGGGACAAGCAGAGTCAAAGTACCACCATACTGGGCGGTCCTGACACCTTGTTTTTTCTACATTCATACATCTATGCTTACATGCACAATGTTTTGGGTGCTGTTGGTATAGAGGTCAAAAAATTTGGTGATGAGAAAGAGAAAATAAAATATATTCAGTCTCATCTGAGCAAGTTAAGTTTACCAAAGATATCAAATTTCTAGGCCAAATGGCTAGTAGATCATTAAGACTAATGATATTGAATGTATCAAACGTCTTGACTTCTAAAAGCCAAAAAATAATAGATGAATTAGTTAGTACTAATTTTAGGACAGCGAAATAGCAGTCTAGTAGAATACAGCCTCAATATCTAAATTAAGTACAGAAAAGTGTTGTTAAGGTGGCTGGTCGGTTTTTTTCTTTTTTTTTGGATAAAAAAAATAATCTCATTGATAATATGGTTTTGACGGCGCTATAATAAAGTGTTTGAAGTAAATACATGTGTTTGTACTCTCATCATTCTTAACAGTGTTATTATCCTTTAATCGTTTTTTTTTTTCTTTTACATGAAATGATTTTACGCTCCTCAAGGAGCCATAGACAATAATGTAATGACAACCCTTTCAACTTCCGATCATTGCCATTATACAAAATAAATGTTTCATAAACTTTCACCTTATCTGTCGACGTCTTTAGAGTCGCTTTTTGCTTGGTGTTGTCTAATCTTCCTTTTAGTCGTCATGAACTGAAATGATAAAACTGATACGCAATTAAATACCTTGTTTTGAACAACCATTAAAGTTGACATGACACATTTTCTATATCTAACAATTTTTGTAAACACGCTTGTCGAATACACAAATTATATGTATAAAATAGGCGAATGCTATTTATTGCGGAAGTAATGGCTTCCTAAAATTTAATTGCTGATGTTAATTTGTAAGCAATAGTTTATCCCTTCTAAACAAATACTGCCCGGTTAAGAATGTATCCTGAAACATCGAAGTGTGCATTGTGAATATTTGTGTCATCCGGCTTCTATTCCCTTCAATTACCTACAGCGTCCCGTGCAAAAGCTACAAAGAACTCTGTTATAATAAAGATTGTCGTTGTATAATAAGATTAATTAAAACAATTTCACGCCTTCGGCAAATGTTTTCGGTATAAATGTTTTGTTGTAAATATGTTTGTTTTAGATATTGCTTTGTAAAATATCTTTGGAAACCGATGATCAGCTTTGATGTTAACATGAATCCAAGTTAATTTAAAAGAATAATTCATTTAACATGGGTGATACTGGCGGTATTGCTTCTGTAAAAAGCAAAATGAAAGGAAGGGTCGAAGAGGAAGATGAATCGGAAGAAGAAGTTTGGGATAGCGAAGATGATGACGAGACCATCGCCAGGATTCAGCGCGCTCACTACGCGCAAGCAGCCGCTATGAATCCTCGTCGGCGGGCGCCTCCGCGTCCTCGACCATTAAGCCACAAAAGGAAATTAGAAGCAGTGAAAAATTTTCATGATTTTACTAAAAAATTAAAAAAAGACACTGGTATATCAATTCGTAGTTTAGTAGGAAACAATATATTAGAGCTAAGTGACTTTTCTAGTGAAGATAGTAAATCGGAAAGTGATGGGTTATCAGAAGAAGAGTTTGTTGTTAACCCAAACGCAGTTCAGGAGCTGGAGGAGGAAAACGAAAGTTTCATTGACCCTGTGACTGGTGATATTGTGGAATGCAAGAAAACAGTACAGAAACCTGTAAGTTCAGACAATACTCCTAAATATACTGATGTACAGCAAAACATAGAGCCTAAAACACTTTCAATCAGTGATATAATTAATGAGGGTGGTATTGACCTGAGTAAAAATGTTGAGATAGCTGAAGTTGAAACAAGTGAGTTATGCCCAGACAAATGCCCAGAAGAGTTATTAGATATGAAGCAAGATGAGGCTAGTCAGGACTTCGACGAGTCAAACAATGTAAATGAGATGCACAATGAAGAGGTTAAACCTCAAGATGAGTTAAGTGAGGAAGTGGGTTCTGCAAAGGATGAAAAGAAACCGGAAACTGAAGAAGAGGTAAGAGATTATATATGTTCTATGTATCCTAGTATTGCAAAGGTACTTTTTCATTTCAACATATTGTGAAATATGTTATTTTAAAGATTAGAATTAGAACATAGTCTAGAAGAACATTAAGGTTATCAATTAAGTTTTATTTTTAAATCTGCTTGTACCAAGACACAGGTGACAGCTAGAATGAGTGTAACACTATCTGGATATTGATTATAGTTATGTGTTTTAGAAAAAATTAAACAATCTCAATGCAATTAATGTAAGGAGAAATATAAGAGAAGTAATGGATGAGAAAAATTTGGATGCCTCAACATTAACAGCTCAACGGCAGGAGTCTGAACGTCTGGCTCGTGTACAAGAACAGCAAAGGATCATCAGAGAGGTAAGTAATAATAAGACTAATTAATTTCACCAGCTTTGCTTATTAAGGCAAATTGAAAAACAATAAATATATCGTTATTTTATGCTTTAAAATCCATATTTAGTGCAACAAACTGGTTTTGAATGTTCACTTGCACATGAAATATTGAAAGTAACATTGTTTTTGTTAAATCACAAGAGTTAGAAAAAAAAAATGTTTTTGAGTTATTCCAAAACATTCAAACCTTTTCAAAATTCACATAACATGTACTATCAGCAAAATACTACAAACACATCTTATACCTTAATAACATCATGCATTGGAGGTCATATTTCACCATACATTTTTGCACTTGCACTTATCATTGTGTTGAGATGATAAAAGAAGCAACAGAATAATTAGTTAATATCTATATCTATCTTGAGGTATGCTTTAATCCTGGTTGATTCAGAGTTTTATTTTTAAATTCTATTATCATTGTTTAATGGTTTTTATTATGGTTTTTTTTAGAAGTGCAAGATGACAAGTCCATAACACTTAGTACACTTCAATTAAACAATATTTAATGACAATTCATTAAATACTTAAATAAGCAGTCCCTTAGTGTAGTTTCATTCAAATTCTATCCTAATAAGATTCCATTATTGACCATTTAATGGTTGGGCATGGCCGTAAAATATTTTAACACACAATTTCAGGTGCAAAGACAAATAGCAATGAATAGACAGAACAAAATTCACCAGAAAACTCTCTCCTTATTACAAGGTGGATCTTCCATACTGAAGAAGTCTGGCCCTGGACAAAAATTAAAGTATGTGATATAAATTAATTTTTAAATTTCTATGATATGTGTTTTAATCATAAATATTTTATTTTTAGTTTACCAAATACTGTAACTGTGAAGATGCCATCAGGTGAAGTTAAGAAGACTATAAAACATGGGCAAGTTGAGCTTACCAAAGTGCCAAAGCCAACAACTTCAGCAATGTTCTCACAGAAACTCGGCAAACTTGAACAAAAATCGGAAAAGAAAGAGGTATGCTAATTAAGATTTTGCAAAATTTAATGATATAAAATTAAATCATACTTCGTACTCCTTACTTAATATTATAAATGCAAAAGTTTAGATGGATGGATGTTTGTTAGAGCTTGCAGCCTTAATGGCTGAATGGATCTCAATGAAATTTAGTATAGATGTGGTGGATAGTCTGCAAGAACACAGCTACTATCTTTTGTTTGTTTTTTTTAATTCCATGCAGATGGAGTCACGGGCGAAAGCTAGTTCTAGATATTTTTAATATGAGATGAACAAAAATGATATAAATGTTCAAATGAATACAATGTGATCTGAATTTGAGAATTTAAATTTGATATTTCAGGTGGTTGAAATAGTTGACAGTAGTAGTGGTGAAGAAACTTCATCATCGTCATCAGACTCCGATGATTGTATTATGCTGTCAGATTCAGAAGTACCACCAAGTCCTGAAGCTGAGGAAGATCCCGCTAATTCTGGTAAGATACTAACTATCTTCTTTACTATTATTTACTCTATCTTTTCTATGATAACAGGATAATGTAAAATTTATATGCTGGAAGTTTTTATGGATGGTTTTATTTCATGAATATGTTTTTGTTTCCATAAAGGTCTGCATGTAAATGACACTTACAACATACCGGATGAGCAGGGACGCGTTTTGATAAACATTGGTCATCCAGAATCAGAAGAGGATATATTCTTAGCTCCCCAAATTGCTAGAATTATAAAACCACATCAGGTGTGTAAAAAAGTTTTATTGACTTACTCCTAATCCATGACATATATACTATCTATACTAATATTATAAAGAGGAAAGATTAGCATTTTTGTATGTATTGACATTAAGAATTTTTCTAATAAGAAAGACAATTTATCTGTGAGTAACATAGACTATGTCTTTTTTTAATTTCACAAGAATGGTCAATATTTTTTTAAATAACCAATTATACGTTTTTTTAAATACTTTAATATTGCTTTTGTTATGTTGAAGTAGTACAAAAATGGAGTAATGTTTATTTTTTTAAATATGTTATATAAGAATTTTGTTTGTTACCAGATCGGAGGTGTGAGGTTTTTGTTTGACAACATAATAGAATCAGTTGAGAGATTTTCAACGTCAGCAGGATTTGGTTGCATTTTAGCACATTCAATGGGTCTGGGAAAGACTTTGCAGATTGTCTCGTTTTGTGATATATTTCTGCGGCACACCACATCAAAGACTGTGCTATGTATTATGCCAATTAATACTCTACAAAATTGGGTAAGCATATAATTGATTCTAAATCTAAAAACTATAGTGCATTATGATTGCTTGGACAACAATTTTTTTACAACTTTCTACAAGAAAGTAAATCTTTCAACATAGTTATCAACTTGCTACAAAATTGTATCTTCTATTAAATAGTCAAATATAGAAAATATTATTGATTGATTAATACGTCATTGATAATTGATCGTTTTTTCTATATTATAAGATGGCAAACGAGCCAGCGGTCACCTGAATCCACTAAAATGGCGAAGCGACCGCTGTCCCTAGACATTCGCAATAGCGGATGCGTTGCCTACCCTTAAACGTCGGAGGAGGAGACGCACATAAAGAGGATATTTCCCCTTCCTATGCGTCTCCTCCACCGTAAAATCCATGTTTCCTTCTCATCCTTTTCTTATAAGAAAAAGGGTGGGAAGGAAAAGGAACTAGTTTTGGGCCATCACACCACCCACCGGAATTGGTCCCACTTGACGGCTGAAATATGTTGAAATGTTTGGTATATGTAGGTGGCAGAGTTCAACATGTGGCTGCCGCTGGAGGCGGGCGCGAGCGCGCTGGCGGCGCAGGGCGAGGTGCGCACGCGCAACTTCCCCATATACGTCCTCAACGACAGCCACAAGACGCTGCAGATGCGAGCCAAAGTTGTTAAGGTATCTGTACGATGTCAGCAATTACAGCATATTTTTGAATAATTCTTTCTTCAATATAAAGCCCTACACTTACAACACGCTTTAGACTATATGTTTTCACGCTATTATACTTAGAGGATAAATAAATTGCTGCCAACATAAAGGAAGCAACGTTATCATTCATGCATTTGAAATTATCTTATTTTAAAATAATCTTGCAATGTTTTTTCCAGGACTGGACTGCCACTGGCGGTGTGCTTATGATAGGATACGAACTGTACAGACTTTTAAGTATGAAAAAGGACAAGAAACCTCGTAAGAAAAAAAAGGCGGAATTAAAGGCCGAATTGGAGAAAGAGAGAGAAGCCCTTAAAAATGACAAAACCGATACTAACGAAGAAACTCAGGTAAACATATAAAAAAGAGTAAAAAAAATTCTGTGTTTTTGTCAATAAGAAATTAAAGAACCATAAAAATGGTGATGATCGTGATTTGTTATTTTTGTCTAATTTGTTTTTTTTATAAGTTTTTGTTTTTCTAGGGTTCAGAAAGTAATATGTCAAAGCCATCAGAAGAATCACGAGGTGAAAGAGAGGAAACGAAAGATGAAACCTATAATAAGACTGAACAAGAAAATAAGGATAAGGAAGAGAAAAAAGATGACAGTCTAGCTGACGAAGATAAAAGACTTTTAGACGGTAATATTGACCTTACTAATTTTATAAATGAGAAAGTTTGAATGGATGGATGTTTGTTACAGTTTGTACCAAAACTGCTGATTTTGATGAAATATGGCATAGAAGATAATCTGAAAAAACACATAAGCTACTAAGTTTTTTAAAATTTTTATTTCTAGAAATGTATGAAGCGTTAGTTCGGCCAGGGCCGGACTTGGTGATATGTGACGAAGGTCACAGAATAAAGAATTCTCACTCAAACATATCTTATGCTTTAAAACAAATGAGGACAAAACGCCGTGTTGTGCTCACGGGTAAGTTATTTCTTAAAATTCTATTTTAAAATAAAATACTCCTATAAGTAAAAAAAAGTAAATGAAATTGAGTCTTTAATGATATAAAATTGTATTCTTATGTTATTTTTAGGTTATCCCTTGCAAAACAATTTATTAGAATACTGGTGTATGGTTGACTTCGTGAGACCGAATTACTTGGGCAGTAAGACTGAGTTCTGCAACATGTTTGAACGTCCCATACAAAACGGTCAATGTATCGACTCCACGCCGCAGGACATCCGGCTCATGAGATATAGAGCTCATGTACTTCATTCTTTGCTCGTTGGCTTTGTACAAAGGTATGTGAAATTTAATTTTCCATATAATCAAGTCTTGTTTAAGGCAGTAAAATTTAATTACTAATTTAAACTGTGTTTTTTTACTGATATTTTTATTTTAAAAGTAACAATATTGGCTCAATTAGTCTGATGTTTTTTTTAGACGATCTCACGCCGTGCTACAGTCGACTTTACCACAGAAAGAGGAATATGTACTGCTCGTGCGTATGACGCCCTTACAAAGAAAACTATATGACAAATTCATGAATGAAGTAGTTCGAACTACGTCAGTGCCAAACCCGCTAAAAGCATTCGCTATTTGCTGCAAGGTAAATACATAATCGAAGTACTCAATAGCGATTTTTACATCTTCTGATTATTATTACTTTTTCAGATATGGAATCATCCAGATGTATTATACAATTTTCTTAGAAAAAGAAACGAAGTCAACATGGCTATTGAAGAAGATCTTGATTTGGAGGAAATAGGCGGAGTCACTAAAGCAGGTCGACAAACTAGATCCAGAGGAAATCCCAAAAAGGCGGCTAAACCTCGGGTAAGTTACCATTATACTATAGATCAATACATACAAGTAAAGTATTAATATTAAATAATTCAATGATTTTTTATTTATTTTAAAGGGTGCTAAAAAGCCGGCGGCTACCATACCTCCTAATACAACTGGAGTAGGAAATATTCGTCATGATGCGGGATCTTTTGGAAACACTCAGTTCCCTCCAAACGGACCTTACCCAGGACCACCAGCTCTACCGGGGCAACCAGGGATGCCCGATTCCTACAGACCTGCCAGACCAGAGGCATCATATCCCCCGTATCACGAATATCAAAACTCTGGCCAAGGATACTATCCCCCTAATCAAGGCTATAATCAAGAATTCAATAGCAATTATTATCAACAACCTCAACCACCTTACGGCAACAATTATCCCAATCAGTATCCTCAGAACAATTCTGAATGTAACCAAGGATATAATCAAAACAATTACTGGAATAATAGCAACTATTATGGTAATCCAGGATACTATAACAATCCCCAGTATCCCAACCCTCAACCGCAACCAGAGTTTACTGGTAATCCTCCGCCTAATTTCAACAATAGTCAACCGTATCCAACGAACTTTAATACGATGGATCCAAGCAATCAATCGTACCCTAATAATCAAATTCCACAATATCCTGCTAACCAGGACAATTTCAACAATCCACAAAGGCCGCCCTTCCAGGGACCTGTTAATCAAACTACTCCAGGATATCCTACATTTGATTCCAGTGCTTCAGCACCTAGTAATTACCCTAGTAATCAACCCCCTCAAAATTATCCCAATGCACCATATCAACCTCCATCATATCCCGGAAACAGTACAAGCTATGGATCAAATATCCCACCTGCTTACAACCAATATAATAACCCTAACGCAAATTATCCCGCCTACGGAAATAATCCTCCTAATCAGTCTCAAAGTAACCCCTTGCCTAATCAAACGACAGTTAAAACGGAGGTAAACGATTCCAATTATCAGACTTCTGATAGGAAACCAGATCCGAGCTATCCTCAAAATAATGTTCCGTTTGAAAACTCATTTAATTTTCACCAACAAAATCCTTTATATCCAAACCAGTCAGAGACAGGTGCGAGTGGCTACCCGTGTCAGTACCCACCTTTCTCCTCCTCCCTTGAAACCAAACCTCCTCTCGATAGCGCTGGAAGTCCGGTCACATCATGGCCAATCACAGATACCATTAAAACTGAAATTGATAAACTAAAACTTGAAGATAAAATGGAAATGAAATCTGAATCAGACGGAGAGGTCAAAATAGAAGATCTAGATACAAAGAAAATTGTTAAAGATGAAAGTAAAAGAGAAATGTCTAAGTTAGCTGCGTCGCCTAAAAATCAATTCGTTGAAAGTTCTACAAAAGATGTCACATCAAAAGAAGCAACTAAAAGTGATAAATCAGAATCTGACGAAGCCGCTAAGAAAGGTAAACAGAAAGGCAAAGGAAAAGACGCGAAAAAAGCAGAAAAACCGAAGGCAAGAGGGCGGCCCAAAGCGAAGGGTAGGAAAGATAGAAAATCTTCGAAAGATAAGAATAACGAAGAATCTGAATCTGAAGAAAGTGAAAAGGAGGAAAAAATGAATAAAGAGGAGGAGTTAGCGATGGTAAAAAAGGCTGAAGAAATGACATACGACTGGGCGGCGGAGTTATTGAAGGATTACGTTCCTGGTATTATTGAAAATTCCGCTAAGATGGAATTGTTCTTTTATCTTCTAAATGAAAGTATCAAAGTCGGAGATAGGTTATTACTGTTTAGTCAGAGTTTATTTACTTTAAATCTTATCGAAGATTTCTTAGAAAGAAATTACATCCCTGGCACAGTTAGTTTATGGCAGAGAAATGTTTCTTACTACAGTGAGTACATCAGAAGTTTATAAAAACTATATAATATTGTTTATTCTAACTCGGGTGTTCTTAAATTTTAAAATTTAACAGGACTGGATGGTTCAACTCATGCGTTGGAAAGAGAGAAGTTAATCAATGAATTCAACTCCAATCCGAACATATACTTGTTCCTGGTGTCGACGCGCGCCGGCTCGCTCGGCATCAACCTGGTGGGGGCCAACAGGGTCATTGTGTTTGACGCCAGCTGGAACCCTTGTCACGATACGCAAGCTGTTTGTCGTGTATACAGGTACAGAGTACAAAGAAGTACTATTTCGAAAGATCATTTGAACTACATATTTTACAATTCATGAACTATGACGTCATAATCTGTTTTGAGGACATTATTTAAAGCATATTGGTGTATTTTTTTTCTCTCTTACTTTTAATTTTTAAACATTTGTTAAGTGATATCATTTAGTTCTTAATATTGCAGATACGGTCAGCAGAAGCCGTGTTTCGTGTACCGGTTCGTGATGGACTGGTGCCTGGAGAAGAAGATCTACGACAGACAGATCAACAAGCAGGGCATGGCGGACCGCGTCGTTGACGAGTGCAACCCTGACGCAGTGCTCTCTATGAAGGAGATCACCAATCTCTGCTTCGATAACGACGAAAACGTAAGAAAATGCTACTGCTAAAGTGGAAATCATGCTAGCACTTAATTGTGTTTTTCATGTATTCTCCATACGTCAACTATTCTCTGTTACGTTTTTAATTTATATAAAATCTTTATAGGAATCAGATGTAAAAGATTTATCGGAGCACGCAGAAAGATATGTTGATTTGCTGATGCAAGGCATTCTCACAAAGCACGGCAAGTTGTTGAGCAAGGAACCATTCCAACATGAATCACTTCTGGTTGACAGAAAGGAGAAGAAATTATCAAGCGCTGAAAAACGATTGGCACAAAGAGGGTGAGATATTTTATATAATAACAAATTAAGAAGAATTTGAATAATATTAGAAATAAGGTGTTTATTTTTATTTTCGAAATAGATATCTTAAATACTGAATATTCTATTATAGATTAAACTAACATTGTAAAGAACTTAACAGATGATACTGATTGTATTTTTGGCTTTTTTTAACGAAAAATACAAAAATAGGATATAATGTTTTTAGAAAGTATCATTAACTGCATAAAATTGAGTTACTTTGTGGTACTTTGGTCGATTATATAGATCGCAGTTTCGATTATACATAGGTGTAAAGATCGTGTTTTACAGTGTTTGTAGAGAGTTAAAATGTTGTGTATAGTTACGAGCTGGAGAAGAAGGCGGCGCTGGCGCCGAAGCCGGCGGGCGCGTACCGCGCGGTGCGCTGCGCGGACGGCACGGTGGTGCAGCGGCCCGTGGCCTCCGTGCGGCCCATGCAGCACGCGCGCTGGATCCCCGCCGACGTGTGGCGCCGCCAGGGCATGACCGCGCAGGAGATGACGCTGCCCCTCGGTCGGTGACAACGCATCTCATTACCCATAATACTTGAATATTAATCATTAGCTAAAGTTAACTTCCCTTTATTCTTCATTTCGACTCCCACTATTTCTTTCTCTCTTGTCTTCACTAATCTCTTTCATGATTATATAATCTGTATCGTAAACGAATATAAAACCTACTAACACTATGTCACTTGCACTGGCTAAGTGGATTCGGCGGAGGTAGTAGTAGAGGATAAATAACTATCTGTTACTTCTTTCCATTTTCAGACGTTGTGATACCTACGAATTCGGCTGAAAAGACTAATATTGTTCTAAAGGCCGGACAGCGAGTTATGGTATTGAAGTCGCCGAAAGGTATTTATATGCAGCTCGAGTCTGGTAAAATAATAGCAATCAAGACGTCACTCAAAGGTTTACAAAAAGGATCAGAAGTCAAGGAAGGAACCCCATTAGGAAAGAAAGGTATGATATTTTCTATGCATCTTTTTATATTTCTTCTCTTCTTCAACGTAAAAAATTGATCTCTAATAAAAAATATATCTTTATTACAGTTATGACCAATCGCGTTGCAGCTAGTATACCCGGTTCCTTAAAAAATAACTCTGCAATTACCATTACCTCTAAGACCGGAATGAGACCTGGAATGCAAAGGGTACTATCTAGACCCTCAATGTTGGGACCGAACAAAATGAGGCCTGTGTTACCTGGACAAAAAATAGCAGAGATCAGAAACCGCTTAGGTGATATGAAGTCGTACACTGCGATGCGACCGAAGTTACCAATGAATCCTGCGCGTTTGCTGCGGCCTAACCTGCCCGGTTCTGTTAGTATAACAAGAATTCCAAAACAAATGAAAAAGCCTGCAAACATTGTGCCCAAAGACTTAAAGAAAATGGAATTAGAGTCAGATGAAGACCCGCAAGTATTAGACAGCGAAGAGGAAGAAGAGTCAACAAACGATAGCAAAGAACAAGAAGTAAGCGACCAAACAAACAAGAAAGAAGAACCCGAACGCAATGAAGACAATCTTGAACAAAGAGCAGATGCCCCTCAAGAGGCAGAAAAAGATACAACAGATAAAGACCAGAAAAGTAACGACAGTGAACCAATGGTACTCACCACAGATGAAAAATTACCACCCGAAGAAGCTTTAGAAAATAAATCCATGGAGGAAACTCCTATAGAAATGCATGACGCCATCAGCAATCAAATGAATTTAGCACACAACGATATGCACGATTCCACGCAATTCGAAAAGAAAATAAATCTATTAAAGAACTATAGACACCAACGTCCTTTCAGCCGCCCGCAGACGGAATCTAGTTTAACTCAACTGGAGAGAACCGCTAGTACATTGAACAATGAAGGAATACCAGACTTTCGAAGGAACTTGGACGATATTACACAATCTTACTCACCGATCACCGATGATAAAACTAACACTAAATCTAGAAAGAAGAAATCTCCAACTAAAATTGAAATCACTCCCGAACCTCAGCCCGTAAACATAGAAAGGCCGCCGATACCGAGTGCAAATATGTCTCATAGTGTATCTAGTCTGCTCGGCTCGAGCACGCAGAAGCCCCGCGTAGATCCGATGCTCGGCAACCACTTGCCTAAACCAAGGATGAGTGACTCAATCGCACAAAACTTATCGCTCAGTGCGCCAAGACCGAATCCTTTGAGTATGTCGCACGACAATCAAATCAGTCCTCTGCGAGATTACACTATGGGCCAAAGTTTAGATCATTCAAAGCATATGGCGATGGGCCCGGCCTTGGGAAACATAGGACTAATGGGAGGTCCTCCAGTAACACCTAACATTGATGTGCGGAAAGTACCGGGGACACTTGGGGATCCCCTCAGCAGTCCAATGCCCAGCGGGGCTATGAAACCTGTGCAACCATATCCAACTCCAAATCCGCCTCCAGAAGTACCGTACGGTCAATATCCAGGTAACTACATCTCTTAAAAATTTTGCTTTATAATAAGTTTTACTTGAAACATGGACACACAAGCACATACAACTATTGTACAGTCAGCAGCATAAATATGTATACAATTACAAAACTATCTATTGAAATGATTGATAAGAGCAATTGAAAAGATATTTTGGAAACCGAAAATCTCTACAAGTTTTTGAACCTTTGTAAATGTTTACATTTCTATATTTGTACATCATACTAATATTATAAATGCGAAAATGTGGATGGATGAATTTTAGATAGAATTTTTAGCCTAAACGGCTAAACGGATTGTAATGAAATTTGCTATTAGATGTCAAGGATAGTTTGGAAGAGTACATAGACTACTCAGTTTTTTTAATTCCACGCGGAGTGAGTCGCAGACGAAAGCTAGTTTATTATACAATAAAACATTTTTCATTAAAAAGTTATGCCGCTGACTGTACTCATTTACGTCACTAGATTGGATACCACATCCATACGATGTGTTAATTTTTTACATTATGCTGCGATAGTGATGGGATAGTTTAACCTTTGAATTTAAAGAATAATGCATCGATTATAAAAATTGCAGGTTACGGTATGGGGTACGGCGCGTACCCGAACCCGGCGTACTACGCGGGGTACGGCGGCGCGTACTACCCGCCGTACGCGCCGCCCACCACCTCGCCCTCCGTGCCGCCGCCCGACGCCTACCTGCCCTCCAACCAGCACTGGTGAACTAACATTGTACATCTACGGACTATCACTACTTGTGCATACGTTACATTATAAACTCACCTTTCATAAAATTTATGTAGCTTTAATTTATATCATTTTAGTCATCTTTCATTGATGGTTAGTAGAGGCCAATTGTAAAATGTTGATGCACAATTGATTTTTTTTCTTGTATTCTCATGTTCTAGAATTTATTTATGAATAAAAATGTTATATTTGATACATAGTTATACAATTATCGACAGACCTTAGTATGTATTTTGTCGTATTATTGTTTTCGTATTTCTCCGTATATAAGATTTTCGAAGATAACTATGACGGGCTAAAAGTAACTGTAAATAATAATGTTTTCCGTATTGTATTGTTAATTATCAAACGATTATTTTAACATTGAAATTGAAATATATTCAAACAAGGATATCTTAGCCTGGTGAGATACGCTGCTATTGTAAGGTTCTGTCAGAAAATATGTAAAACCTACATTGGACATAGAAAATGACATAAAAAGAGGGCGCTAGTGAGATCACAATTTAGTTTCACTTTCCACCGGGTAAGATATCTTGTCGGTCTATATCCAACAATGTCATAATGTATTGATAATTCTTTACTAATAATACTGAAGTAATGACGTGGAAGTACTTATTGCTAAGTATACGCAGTTCAAGATGCATTTCAATGCGAAGCGTTACATAATTATAATCATCCATTGTAAATTATACTAACATTTATCATTTTAGAATTGTATTAGTCGGAAATCTCAATAAAACTATTTTTTTTTTCGTATGTTAAAGTAAAGATTCTGTTTCGTGTTGCTGTCTTTTGAATATTACGGCTACGGATTGGTCGATGGATGTGATACGTTGCTAAAATTAGAGATTAAGTCGAAATTAGCGCATAAGGAGTATTTATCATTTAATTAGCTCTAGATAGGCGTTCTTAACGGTTATACTAAGCACTTCAGAGGACATAGCACGAAAACTTCCAAGAAAGTATTTGTAACGTGATCGATAAAATTTGTCTTAGATTTATGCAGCGCCTGTGGCGTAAAATACAAAGACAAATCTCATATATTTTTGTCGATGAATTTACGAATACATTCTCACAAATTTTCGTGCTAGGTCCCAGTTCACATCATTCTCTCGACTTGCCCGTAACAGTTATATTAACGCTGATAGTATTATTTGATTACGCGATTTTTATTTTGTCTAATTTCGATATTAAATAAAGATTTGCGTAATAATTTCTATTTTCCGTTTGGTGTGCATTTTAATATCTGGAAATTAAATCTAAATTTTAATCGTCACAAAGCTTCGTAATTAATAGTTTTAAAAATCAAAGCTCTGTGATAACTGTCAGCAAAACGTTGATTCGAAAGGTTTATATGTTATTAAAGTGTATAATTTTTTTTATTATAATTTATGTTGAAATTCAAAATACAAGTACCTTAATCATTTACATCCAAGAAATGTTTAATCAGTAATAAAATCTACATAATATTTTAAATACCTTGGTCTAAGAATTTGAGAGAAAGTTGTTCTCGAAAAAAAAAAATGTAATGGTATTTGATTGGACACTCCAAAAAGGTGGATATAAAGGAATATTGAAAAAAAAAACCTCTACAATTAGGTATAAGATGCCATTTAAAAACTTATAATCGGTCAATTTTGGATTTATAGGTCTCGTCATTATAAGACAAAAAGTCGAGACAGGCTATCCAAATTCTGTCAGATGTAATTTACATGCAAATAGAAGTTGAACGTTTCGTTTGTCTTGACTTAGCAGGCTTATTAAAGTATTTTTAGATGATTTTTTTAGTAAATATATTTAACTTTACTGTTAAATTCAATGTTCATAGAGCTTCGTTTTAAATTCACTTTTGATAGTATATTTTAGTTATATTGTTAACAGTTGTATAATACTAGAGCACTGTACTACCTGGTACTGCATTCTTTATGAATTGTTATATAAGAAAATATTATTAATTAATTCGAATTTTGTATAAAATATTCAGTTTAACACAGTACTAATATTTTTTTTATTTTCTAATATTGTTCTTAACCGATTGAAGAAAGAATATAATAATTTTGGTTTTATTTAAATATTTTAAGCACTTTTTTAACGTTATGTAAATTTTCCACTGATTTGCTCACACCAAATGAAAAATAGAAATTCAGTTTATTTATATTGATTTTTGTATATGTTTTAAAGTCAACGTTTTTATATTATTCTTTGTACAAAACTGTGGACATTATTGTTCGAAGTGATACAAATAATAAATAATGCATTTTAAATTGGTCAAATAGTTCTGTACCGGTAATATCCAATAAAGTGATCAATAAAACGCTTTGTTTTAATTTTTTTTCTACATTCTTTTTTTAAATTCTAATTGGATTACTTTGTGTTTAAAGTGTTTTACGCCTCATGCTTAATTTCTTAGTTTATGTTTCATAGCCTTTAGTATTCAACATGTTGGTAAGACATCTGGTAATTTGGAATGGTATTATGGTAATGCAAAAGTCATTTCACGACAACAACGTGAACTGTTCTAGTTTGTTCGTTCTGAAAAAAAAATCGTCTTGCTTCGAAACTCCAAAAAAAATTCTATCGACTCATTTTATTTTACGCACAATTATTGCATAATGAAATTTTTAGGTTATCGCAACTGCTTTTTGTTTTATAGTTTAAAAAACCTTGGAAAAACTTTGCAACAACTTTTTACTCTTGAATGTCTCAAAAATAAATAGAGTTGTCGACTTCAGAACAATTCAATTCGACAGGCAATTACATAAAGTTCAATGGATTCAGTTTGAAAAAATTGATCAAATGTTTGTTCATAACAAAGAAGTATTGAAAATGTTACATTTTATTGCACTTGATTCCATTTGATGTGTAATATATCACCCAAACGATTCAATTTCCATGTAGACAAATGTTTTTTTTTTACAATATCATTTCTACATTCTAACAAACTACAGTTAATTGACATACACGCATTTTTTTAATTTACTGTCCCATATCTAGCTGCACCAAGTTCTTGGCAAATTTAAATATTTTTGGTCTTCTTGTCGACAATGTTCTTGAAAAGGTGAAGATACAAATATTTAATTTATTACATCCATTATTTGTAAGGATTTGTTGTACTCGTCCAACTCGGCTGACTTATTTTATAACCTATAAATTGTGATTGGATGGATGAAGGAATGCGAGTGACATCGTACGAGTGACTCGAAGTAAACTAACTTCTGATTTTATCTTGCTTTTATTAAGATTGCAGGCTTTACTGGTCGCATATAAAACGGTGTTCAAGTAGTTTTTCATTACACGTTTATAGCCTAGTACAAACGCTTACAAAAACAAATACAGAACAATGAAACATTTATCAATATAGAAAAACTAGGTTTGACAAAATGTAGTAACACAAGACAAGGTCTTAAAAATCGCAACCTCATTATGATTCCATTAGTTTAAAAAAATCTCTTTGCTTATTAACTTTTCTGCAATAACCAAGACTAATCAATTCTCGGTCGTCGGTTCTATTCCACGTTACACTTTTATCTTTTGAACTTTTAAGGGTTTAACATACATTCTTAACATCTTCCTAAAGAAAGACTTATCTCGTATTATTTAAGTCCGTACTACTCAATAGTTTTTCATGAAACATTTTTTTCTTCTTGTTTTGTCTTGTTATTTACTATAGGATCACATAATAAAAGGAAATTAAACAAGATAAACGAGCGAATTCCTAATTATACGAAACACGGTATCTATTATAATATAACGCTTTTATGTCATTGTATTTTTAAAAATCAATGATCACCAAAGTGTAAACATAAACAAATCTTATTTGCATTCTACTGCGATTCTTACTATCACGGAAATAATTACCTTTATAATATAAATATTATCATTTTACGCATCTTATACATAAATAGAATAATTTGCAGATATTCCGCGTGTACAATCCGTCGACTTAAAAGTAAAAACAAGGGGATTGCCTAATTTAAAGCACCCTGTACCTCCTCAGTGGGGACGCATGTAAGCTGACGACTTACACGACTTACGATTCTGAGTACCTAGCAAGGTATCCCTCCTCAGTGGGGACGCATGTAAGCTGACGACTTACACGACTTACGATTCTGAGTACCTAGCAAGGTATCAGGCATTGTGTATGCTGAATCCTGATACAGACTGATGATGATATCGATAGAGTAAATCGGTTTTCATTTATGAAATGTAATTTGGCAAGCAGGTGCCGAAAAACGGGTTCAAAAGGAATTAAAACACTCCTTACCCGAATCTTAAGCTGTGATGGTACATAATGGATACAGAAAATTGTTTAAAAATATTGTATTTTCATTATTATGATTTTGTATTTAAAGAAATAAAGGTCATTTTATACAAACCGTACATAGATGCCATAATTAAAACATTTAAGAAAACTAAAATGTCGGATTAAAAAAGAAGAGACAATCTTTAACCATTGATCGTGTTGCAAAATAAAAGGTTCTGAGTGAAAATCATAATATGAACATCCTAAGTAAATTTTTAAAAATGTAAAATAATCTTTGAAATCCTAAAAAAGACGCAAAATATATCCTAAATATTTATTGGTGTACGAATAACTTGAAATATATTTTAGAAATTGATTGCTTCTTCATTCGATTTTTCGTTAAAAGAGGATATTACAAAGATAATTAAAAAAACCGCAATTTATCAACGTAAATTATAATCAAGCAACGCAACTCTTACCTAACTCGATATAAAAAACCAAAACAACTACAAGTGCAGCGCCTTATGTATAGTTAGAAGTGAGATGTCGATCTATAAAATGCAGGCGAAACAGCAATCCGTTTTCATTGATAATATTATAAGTAGAGGTGACGCCGGCGCAATGCCACAGCCCGACGTTTAATTGCAAAAAAATATTTGCTAGATAGTGACGTGTTTAATTAGAATTTTTAAAAGTGCGTAATAAAAAAAATTAGACATTATTAATAATGTGGTTCAAATTAGTATTGGTAAGTTTATACAAAAATATTTTTTTGATTCTGTTTGCATTTTTTTAAGAATACAGTTAACTAGTAATATTTTTTAACTTAATCTAATCCTTATACTCCCTAAATTATTATATCTTTCGCTGTAATAACCTATTGTTTTACTGATCTATAATTTCTTATATTTGGTTTGGATGCAAGTTTAACAACCTTTGCAGTTTATTGTTTACATTTGATCGAGTTTATAAGAATAAAAAATATGAATACAATTAAAATGAGATTGCTTGTCTATTGACAGGCATGGCTTATTAGTTTCACTTTCATTTCTATCGCGGGAACGGAGCCGACAATCACAAGAACTGTAACAACGGCCAGTTAAATAGGTTCTCGCGGCTTCTTAATGGACTTCTGTTTACTGTACGATAAAAAAGAAACAATTCTTTAAACTTACGAGTACTCTTATTGTCTTATGTAATTCACAATCATGTAGATTAATTAACCGTGTAAATATAAACAGGTAACTTAAAATCAACAATTAACAAAGACACTTTACTCTTTAAAGATCGTTTTGATCGGAATCGAACCCCGACTACTTTATACTTATCAATACCTGATTCTACCGGAGAGTCTAACTCTGGCACTGTTGTGTACATGGTTGTCATATGTACGCTGATAGGGTTTGAGGATACTATAAATTATCTCAACCCTATGGGATCATCACCGGAGATAGTCAGCAACATGACGGTTTAGTACTTTACAAAGAAATGAATGGCCGAAATCGCGAGTAAAATGTGTAAGATTGTATTGTGGATTTCATAAGTCGTGTGCAGTTTTGTATTTAAACAAATTACAACCATAATGATTTACTTTATTACAATAGGTAACATAAACTGTTAACATCGACCTAGTTTCTTTGTAGGGCAAATTCTAAACTTTGTAAATCGATACTGGATATCGATACGCATTCTGCGGCGTTACTGAACGCTAATAAAGATATCGATGGCGACCGTCACCAGTTGAGGCGGAGACGCTGGTCAATATCTCACTTTCTAGGACAGTCCTAGAAAGTGAAATATATCCGCGCTGTTAACCCCGACCACAAAACGGACCTGGTCGATTGTATTTTTTTAAATTGATTCCTGATTGCATTTCAGACAATTGTGTCTACATTTATGTGTTGTACATATTGATGTATATTACAATTTAATATCAGCATTGCGTAGTAACATGTATTTGTATTTAAATACAATCGCATCTTGTAATCGTTTATATTATAACTCGCGCTATTCACAATAAAACTTTGAGAGATTATAATCCCGAGAGTTTGATGGATTTTTGCAAGCTCAGTAAAATGCAGATATTCTATGGAGACGGTGTGATATAAAAAAAATGATGATAATTATACAAAGTAGTGTACATTGACTTGATTTAATCCATCTAAAATTTTTAAAGATATCCTTTAGTTTTATTTAAAACGAGAGTTAACGTAGGTGGTTTACCTATATGTAGATATTATTTTTTACAATTTGTGTGAGTATATGGTAAGAATTTATTATATATTTACGACACGTCTGTCGTCAATAGAGTTTTGCGGGATACGTAAGTAGATTAGGATCACATTTCTCGACGAAATAGGATTAGGTTTCTCCGGTAAAAGATGACATTGACTCAGTTACCTGTTTACTTGAAGAGTTATCTGTTTATTTATATTATACTAGCTGTTGCTCGCGACTTCGTCCGAGTTAAGTTAAATTATAGTGAAAAATGTGGCCTATGTTACTGGCTGATAAAGTAACTTTTAAATGGTGAAAGATTTTTTGGGATCGGTCCAGTAGTTTTTGAGTTTTTTCAATACATACAAAAATACAAATCTTTCCTCTACATAATATTAGTATAAATACAATATATAGGTGTAAAATATGGATTAAGATATAATAGTTAACAAAATTTAATAACTCAGTTTAAAATTTTGCTTTACATTGCTTCAATATTAAAAACAGATTTTGGTTTGGTGACATATGACGTTGAACAAAAACGATCGTTATAGAATATTGCATGTTTTTGTTGGACGTGTGTGAATTCATATTGCACCGTTATATTTTATAATAAATGATATATTCAACTCAATTAGAGACAGCACAACTTAAAACAACATTTCAATTACTATACTAAGAAATCAGTTTTAGTGCTTTACCTGAAAAGAAAATTCAAATACAATTCGCAAAAAAGCTGCACCATTTTTGTCTATATGTGTATAAGCTTTTATGCTTATTAATTTGTTCGAAAATCAAACACTGAAATGTTATCACTTTTCTCAAATAAATGCTATATTAACTACTTAATTCTTGTTTCTCCTTGATTATTCCACTTAGTTTAGTTGAACACATAAATTAATTCTTGTTCCTGTACTAGACGTGGCGATGTTACGTAGAAAACGTAATGAGTGCAGGTTTGGTAGAGGAGGCAGGAACCCAGGTCTCATTTCCGCGAGAAACTATTAGTTCCTTGATCATTGGACGAAACGTTCCTTGATTAATAGAATTATGTGATCAACAGCATTAAAGTTTATAGTTAAAGAGAGTTTACGCACGTGTTTGTTTTAATATTATCAACAGTTTTTTTTTTAATAATTTTTGTTTATTATTAACAAGTTTATAAAAAAAGTTGAGATGTAAAAGGGTGATTTATGAAATTATATAATCAATAAAATAACCACCCTTTTTAAATTATACCAAGTTAACGCCTCTGATATGGATGGTTCCCTAAATATTTATAGGTCACTTACTTTCAGTATCCACTTAAACATAAAAAGTAATGTCTAATTGAATAATAAAAGAAAGCTTAACCCACTTTGCCAACTTACTTTTAGATTGTCCAGTAAAAAAAAATAGTTTGACAGTTGTCAATAACCTCACTGGTTCATTTCGTTTTTTACATTATGAAGAGGTTTTTTTATTTTGACACACTTTTCTTCGTCAGATGATTACGCGACATTGATGTAATAGAAAATGGACTTTGGGTTTTTATTTATTTATTACGTCCGACTGTTGATGAATTGTTGCCCAATTTTAAATGACTTTGTCCGTATTTTAACAACGCTGTTTCCGAGCGCTGTTTGAAAAGTGATTTGTTATTAAGCCTTTATATGACACAGATATAAATATTAATGGGGGTATAAAAAGTACATTGTTTTATACAGTTTTGATTTTATTTTCTTAAAAAAAAAAGATTAACTGTGAGTCGGAATTGCCTTTGTAAAACTTTATACTTTTTAAGGGACTGACTGCTGTATTATCAGTAACGGGGATAAGAGTTGAAATCGAAAATGAAGAACCAAAAGATAACACTTCAGTACGTCCCCCTACTGAACAATTGCATGAGCCAGTCTACTTCGAGAACCTTGAAGACAGAACATTTGTTATTCCTCACGAACCGGAAAAGCGTGCCCAAGTTATAGTGGAAGGAGCACCAAAGCTGGCTACATATTTGCTACCGCCGTTGACTGGGAAACAATCAGATTATCAATATCAACAGATTCCTTCTAGCGATCAAAGCGATTGGTACCCAATGACGTATTTATCTCAAAACTCTCCCAATACTGTACCGATCATACTAACCGAGATGAATGAAACTGAAGCTCTCAAAATAATAAAGAACACTAGACAGCAAAAAGAGTTACAACAAGAACAATCATCTGTACCAACACCATCTACTGAATTGCAACCTCCAGCTCCAGATGCACCTAATGATTATATAGTTACCTCTCCAGCTGAGGAATTAGAATATGCCAAGAATCCCATTCAAAGATTAAACGGTCATAGAAATTTAGAACATCAACGCCTCACGTTCAATGGCGACCAAAACCGATTTCTACCTCACTTCCAAAGCCTATATAAAGAGAAATTAATCTTACCACAAATGTTACCATATAATCCTCCGTTATCCAAACACAAAATACCTACGAGATTTTACCCCAAGAAATATTCTGAGGGATTTAAACCGATTCCAATCCCGATATCTAAGTACGTCGAGGATTCTAATGATGATGAAATTCCTAAAGCGAAGCCACAGAAACCTTTTTATCCGATGTTAAGCACTAACGACGAGTACCAAACGACGGATGAGAAAAAGGTTTATCTTTTTGAAGAAGCTGAAAAGAAACGGAAGATGCAAAAAGAAAATTTGAATGAAAAGGTAATAAAAAAGACAAGTATTGAAAAACGTTATTTTTCAAGTAGATAAATTCATTCAATTTCTTTGCAGCAGACTTTGGCAGACATCAACAAGGAGGATATAAAGCTACCCACCGCTGAACAGCAAGCTTCGGCGAGCCACATAAGATATCCTGAACGTAAGTAAACTTTGTAAACATATTATTCCACAAAAATTCTGATATGCGACTATATGGAAAATATCATGTTAATTTTTTTGTTTCATTGTAATAAAAAAATATGAAGTTGGGACAGTTTCGCTAACATCAATTCTATTTTAAGATATTTTAGGCACAATGAAAAAAGTGATTAATTTTACGCTCATGGGTTTCTGTGTAATATATGTAGGCAATTGTATAATAAAGATTTCCTCAATTATCTAACGGCAAAAAGTATATCAAACGAAACCGAACGTGCTTTTGCGCTGATTGCATTTTATAAGCGAAGCTATTTTCATAACAACGTTTCTAATGAAAATTGATTGGAAATTAAATAGTAAAAGCTTTTCGTTCATTCAGAAATAATTTAACAGAACATTCTTACTTGTCCTAATCTGTGGTATATACCTAATGTTGATCTCAATTATTGTACCCAAAAATTAAATTAATATCGCGGAAACTACTTGGATAATTTCAAGCGACTGTGCTAAGTCAATACTGCATTGATGATTAAATTTATTACATTCCCTGCTCTAGTTATCTTGAATGTTTACTTTTTATAAAATGCGACGATAACGTCGAGAGAAAGTCGTATCACGTCACAACCGGGTACTGCATTCAATGACCATTACGTGGGAACTGATCAATTGGTGATATAATGCAGGTAGTGCTTATTATGGATCGGGCGAGTACAGCCAGCAGAAGCAACGGGAGCCGCTCGCGTCGCAGCCCCCGCCCCCCGCGCCCGCCGAGCGCACGGAGTTCCGCATGCACGGCATGAAGGGACCGCATAGCTACCAGTTCGGATACGACACTGGCAAAGGGTAAAGTATCTAAGTATTGTTAAGAAGAAAATCGGAAAACACTAGAACATCGGCGTAGAGGTCCCGTCCTTATCTGACAGCAGTCGATGTCATTTAGATGCATTGGAATAGCGCGCCATTCTGGTAGGATCAGTAGCTCTGAATGTGTAAGTTCATTATGTAATACAATTAAAATCTTTAATAGTCTCTAACTTTAACAAATACATTTATATAACTAAGTATCTAACTTTAACATATGTATTTCATGAAAATGTTGGCATTAGAAGCGCTATCCTCCTATATTAGCATAATTAAATTTTTATTTTTAAAGATAATTGAAAAAATAAATAAGTACTAATTGTACTATTGTAGATTATCTTCAGCATCATTTATTCCATGGTCTTTATATTCTTGACAACAAAATTAAGTACATCAAAGGTTTTCCTTCTCAACCTTTATCCAGCTTAAGCTAAGATACGCCGCCCAACGCCTAAAGGTTGACTTCTTAAGTTTTTCTTGTAAAGTGATCTGATAACCACAAACGTATCGATTGTTTGAAAGTTTGGGCTGCGTTATCTAACTTTAAATTGAACAAAAACCAATCTCATGACTAGTAAGTGAGGAATACTTTACTCGGCTCACTTTTTAAGCACCTTGTTTACACACAAATATAAAATGTGGTGATATTATTACCTGACTCGTAAGTTAGCCCCTAATCAAGATTGGTTAATCATCAACTTGCCCTTATCCCTTATGGAGGGTCGGCACAGTATGTGCTGCTCTTCCATATACGTATCTCTATCAGCCGTCATATCTGAAACCACTCCTTTCTTAAGCATATCCTCTTTCACAATTCATCCTTAACTTCTTCGGTCTTCCTCTTCCTTTGTAGCCATCCAAATCATTCTTAACACTTTCTGGTTTATGTCCCCAATCAAGATCAATCAAGATTGTTTCATTAATAATACTACTTATTTCAGTAAAAATCGTCAGTTTAGATACGAGGAACGTGACAATGACGGTCACGTGCGCGGCCACTACGGCTACATGGACAGGCACGGCAAATTGAGGGTGGTCAACTACGACGCTGACCCAGTGCACGGCTTCCGAGCTGAAACGCCTGTTGAAAAAGAACAGTAGAAAGCGCCTGTAGAATAATAATAGTGAAATAAACAAACAACAGCAATTAATACAACCGGTATTAAATTAAAGGATAGTTTGCAAAAGAAATTCGAACGTTAGAATAGAAATGGTAATGTTCGAATTTAATTTGCAAACTAATTTGATTAATCTATTTTAATTTTAAACACATCTTACAAACGCCATATTGAATAAATAACGTGTGTATTAAACAGATGGAATCTATTTGCAGAAAAAAAAAATAAATGTAAAGCAAATGTAGGAGTGTACAATTGAGGAAAGTTTAGAGCAGGGCCGATAAACCCCGATTTAAAAGTTAAGCCGTTAAAAGCTTTGACCGTGTTATATATTAAACAAAGTTTTGGGTCTACGCTTACGTTAAAATATTAGGTGTTAAACAATAAATTGTTTTGTAGCTTGTTATTTTATTAAATGTTAAATATTAATTTATTAGTAATAGGTTATTTAAAGACACAGCTTCTTAAAGCAAACTTCTAAAATATCGCTAATAAATAAACATTAATTTTAAGCAATGCACTTTATTCAATTGTCTTTGCCTGTAAACTTTTAAATGTTGCCAACGTTAAAATATAAGGTGATATTTTGCATTGTTATGATGAAGAAATAATTTATTTTATCGTAGATGTATGTTGATAGGATAATTAAATGTTTAATTATAACGAGTGTTTTTCATTTATTTTTACTAAATAAAAACTTTTGTTGTCTCTGTTTTTTGCATAGAAATGCACATTTGTTGCAAGTATTTCAAGGGACGAAACATAGAGTTATGAATAACCACACATATATTGTAAGGTTAAATGTGCAATAGCGATGCGTTTAAACGTATACAGGTAAAGTAGGTTATTAAATAAAAAGCCTTATCAGCATACAATATTTATTAAAAAAAAGCATTTGTACAGAAAACATCGCAATATCAAAAAGGTATAAAATGCAATCGTAGAAAATTGTTACTTAAAACTAAAAAATAATAATATGGCAACACAGTACTCGATAAGAAGTCATACTTCTTAAAATAAAAATTATAAAAACGGTAACTTTGTGAAACGGAATGAGTACGTTACAAAAATGTATTTCTCTCTCATGTAATGGAATGCGTAATACAGTAATTCTAAAAAAACATTCTTAAACCATTTCATAAGGTATTAAATGTTTAAATGATTACTATTCACTTTTGGGAGTAACTTTCGTACAATTACAGAGACATTTCTCCACAACATCGAGCAGACTAGACGCGCCGATACGGAACAGATCTGGTGTGATCCACTCCGGGCCCAACTCTGTGTACACTAAAACCAGCCAGTTAATCGCGTCTCTAGCTGTCTTTATACCACCTGCCGGCTTTAAACCAACCTGTATAGACGAATTGCGTTTTAATAAAATATAATCTAAAACCCCATTAATTAACTCTAATATTGTTTGGTGACAAATTACAGTACAACTAGACATGTGCAAAGCTGAGCCAGATCAGCTCACTTAGTCTTGAACCGTTGAGCTGTGGATCAACAACTAAATTATCAGATCACAGCTTAATTATGTACTATTACAATGGGATCCGACGAGCCACGAACTCTTCGGTGTCTCGCTCACATGAATTATAGCTCTAGGACTCGATGCAATTACAAATTGAACTGATCTGTGAGTCAGTTCACTGATCTGTATCATTCGTGCGAACCGTGAGCTGAACTGTAGATTATCAATTTTTGTTGAGTTACTCATGGCTAATTATAAGAAACTATAAAATTGGATAGATATAAATACCTTGACACCTGTCAGTTGGTAGAAGTTCCGTATAGCGCGGCACATCACCAGCCCCACCGGCAGCGTCGCGTTCACCGCCTCCTTGCCAGTCGACGTCTTGATGAAGTCAGCGCCAGCTAACATTGATATCATTGAAGCTTTGTATACCTGTGAAAATAGCCACAGATTATAAACATATAAAGTTATAACTATAAAGTCTTAATATGTTTTTAACCAGATGTATTTCAACATTTTATTTTAACAGGTTCAACCAATGACATGAGCTGCTCTAAATTTAAAAATGTTTAGTTCACTAACTTTATAAGCCACAAAGTTATCACAATTTAAATATGACTTGAGGTTTAAACTACTTTAAAAAACATTTTAAGGAAAAAAGGTTAAGAAGCTGCTGTAAATACATTTGTATAAAAAATTATTTAGATATAAAGTGTGTGTAATACTAACATTTTCATAAGTACCAAGTTCACCAACTCCAAGTATAACTTTTAAGTGAGCATCACCGCAAGCTTTTCTCATTTGTACAACTTCATTGTAAACATCATCCCATTTGCCAGTCAATACTAGACTTCGGTCCAATACTACGTCAATTTCAGTTGCCCCTTTACTAATTGCAATTGATATCTCCTGCAGTCTACTGACCAATGGGTACAGTCCTGATGGAAAACCCGTTGCAACTAGAAAAAAGTATGGTTAAAACTAGTTGTAATGACATTAAAATGGCAACAGTCTTCATAGTAGGGGAGCCGAAGCGGGGATTTCGGGATTTATTAAAGCGCGGCAGATTAATATATAGGGGGATACTTTGTACCCGGCTAAGTACCTCCACAAAACATGAAGACCATATATAAGGCTGCCCGTGAAGGATACAGGATCAGATTAAGGTGAATTGTTCTTCTTACTTTTTTTTGTCATATCAGGCAAATCCCTCTAGATAATCTTCAGATTATTATATCCATGCAACAGTTTTTTTTTACACATTTAAAAATCTATATCCGCTTCCCCCACCGATGTAAAGGTATATATCATATTACATTTTTTTCTTCTTATCATCTAAGCTTTGCATCCCAATAGGTCTCTACGACGCTCAAGTAAATCCCCATTTAGTATTGTTGGCTCCCCTACTATAATAACCAATTATGTAATTTTATATGGCATTTATGTGTTGTTTTGAAGATGTTGAAATCTATATTTGAGATAAGCAACATACTACGTTTAACTTAGATACTGTAGTTGTCAATCTTAGCAGATCAAAAGCTCATGACAGTTGCTATACAGAAAACAATTTAAGATATAGTAGGCCATGGGATGCGGGGAGACAGATTTTAAGCCACCATAATATTTGAAAAGACATGTATCTGATTCATAACTTAGTCAAAAAAATGAAAGAATAAAATGTACCTGATGCTATTTGTATGGTATCAGTCAATCCCATCTGTTTGATAATATCATGGGCATCAGGAACTCTTGTAGGGTATACACAGACCGCCGCTGTTCTGAGTTTATTATTATCAATGCCCAATTTATTTAAAAGATCACATTTTAATGGATTTGCAGCCTATGAAAAAATAAAATAAAATAGTAGGTTTGAATCATCAAATTAGATGTTAAAAAATAATTTATAATAGCAAAAATGCTACAAATTTAGTTAGTAAGCATAAATGCTGCATGCTGAGTACTAATTGTCTTGTAAAAGAAACACAATAATTAAAAACTGCTAAAACACTTAAAAAGGAGGACCAAAGAATTTAAAGTACTAACCTTCTGACACAATCTAATGACATTAGACCTGGTATCATCTCCAGATAATGTAGTCAAGTCAATTACAGATATAACTTGCAACAGCCATGGTTTTATAGTATCATTTTCCACTATGGGATAGTCATTTAATATACATCTAATTTGGTTTTCCAAGGAGTTTTTACTGATGTAAACATTGTTTACGAATTCCTCTGGAATGGTATTCAAAGCTGAAATTGAAAAATAAATGGTATTTATGTTTAAAACATGTGACAAATGTAATATATTCATATATCAAAACAGAAGTTAATAATTAAAATAGGTAGCACAACTGGTGATTTTAGTGTAGTTTTGTCCGATAAGAAATAGAAGTAATTTGATTATTAAAAAGATAAAATAAACTCACGTAACGTTTTATTACAATCTCTAACCATACTTGAAGCTTTAATCTTAAAATTCCAGAAATTATTTTATTGCGTGTGCGAAACCTTGACGCCAAGACCCTAACGAAAAAAATGTGTTCCTTATCAACGCTCAATATGAACCGGAGGAAACATTTGAATTGTCAATTATTAAATGGTTTTGCATATCAGTTATCAATTTGTTTATGTTGTTAAAAACAATATTTGATAGTTCAATTTGATTTGACAGCAATCAATATATCAACTGTCAGCTGTCAGTCTTATCACTGCTGACAATTAGCCATCTAGCTTTGGATCATAGTCTTTTTGGCAAAAAAAAATAACAATGCTATTTATTTTTTTGGAACTCAATAAGATGTCATTAAAAAATACAAAATTATTACCAAGTGCTTAAAAAAACTGAAAAGGCAGTCCAGTCCAGTCTCGACTGTAAAAAACAATACATTGTACAATTGTATTTTACTTAATTAATTAAGGGTTCCGAAGTAACAAAGACAAATTAAATCGATCTTTTTTTTAATGCAAGTGATTTCGTGCGATACATATCCTTGTTTAAAGTTGTAAAACTTTATTCTTAACAAATAGATGCTGAAACGGGTACGCAGACCTTTACGCAAATTGGCCGTCAACTAGAACACTAATCAAATGATGAATGTTGCGTTCCGCACGATTTATTGGGATCTCCGATCAGTTTGTTTTTAGGAGATTGCGCTATAAATATTTCAGGAACCCATTTCGAGGGCCGAAGTAAAACTCCGGCTTCGACGCAATGTTTTGGAAGATTTGCAATAAAATTAATCTTACTTAATTCCTGTTTCATTTAGTAATGTGCTATTAGTTCACATATTGGACAGCTACAAGACCGTATCCTTTGTACTACACACTTATCATTTTGTTCAATTCATAAGTTTTGGTAACCGGAAATTTCTCGTAAGATCACAGTAAACGGAACAATATTTCAGCTGAAGGTAACTATATTAGATAGACTCTTAAGATTATCTCGTTTGCCAAAGACATTCTTCATCTCGAACAATTCTCGACAAACATTTCGAAATAATCCCTAATATAACACACAACTATTAGCTGATAAAATTATAGTCTAGTTCGGATGCAATCGAGGTGTTGTACACAAAAAGTCTAAGAATTTCCGTAGCACTTCATAATACGGATGAAGTTCCTCCTTATCAAGGCACTTATAAAAATGGTACTGGTTGATGTTTTCAAGTTTTCGGTAGCCGCGAAGCGTACGTTAGAGTTACACAAAGACACGAAAATAAATTGTGCGATAAAAGTTTTCTTGTGTATTTCTTGCAAAATTTCTTTAAAAGAGTTACCGTCTCTGGGGAGGTACAATGAATACGCCTGCTAAAGTGGCTTCAGGCTCGACGACTATTGTAAAAACATGTCTTTATTCAAAAGCTATTGTATCAACTTTTAGGGCGAGCGTTTCTCTCCTTTTCTATAATACGAGTATAATGCAAAAGTTAATGGACTACCTACAACTTTTTAAAGAATAAAAATTTAATGTTTCTAGTAAAAGTCTATTTGATTACATTTAAGTAATTTACTGCTCTACTCAGACTAGATTAAAAGGCAGTCTTAATATACATTAAAAAAATGTACCCTTACTTTTTAAGATAAATGCTTTTTTTAAGAATAGTTAGGAATAAAGTCTAACTTTAATGAGCATTAAATAAAGACAGGTTTTACACATTTAAAACAATAATATACGAATAATAAATAAAAATCAGATATTAATTATAAAAAAGCAATCCCGGATTTACGGAAACTGTTAACTAACTCAAACCAAGAACGGGGAATTAATTAAACGTGACATGATCCGTGAATCTCATTTGACTGAAATTATCGATGGTTCAAAAGTCGAGGATCTCGGACGTTTATAATATAAAATTAACAATTAACATACAAAGTTCACAAAGTATAAGTTTAATTTTTTTTTTATTATTATTATTATTAAATTTATCTAAAATTCTTTAAAATGTAAACATTACTAAGTGATAACTTTTTTGTGACAAATAGTGTGGAAAGGTGTCAAAAGATAATCAGGGTACATATTTAATGACGCGAAATGAGGACGAGCGGAACTGTGAAAAGATATAGGCATTCATTCAGCGTTGAGAAGAGAAGTTTTATTACAAGCAGCGTAGAAAACCGACTTGTTTGCTTTTAATCGTTAAAGGTATTTACCTCATTTTACCTAACTAGTGTCTAATCGTTACTCTGCGTGATAATGTTACCTTTAATTCCCAATTAAATTTAAGTTTTAATTTTGAAATTTCAGATATTTGAGGTAAGTCTCACGGACAAAGCAAGGCAAGGGTTGATGAAAAAAAAGATGATAAGGTACATACAACTGACTTTATCTGTAGATAGAATTAAGAATACAATTTACACCCAGATAAGTGATGGTAGGTAGGTAAGCAATAAAAAACTATAGACAAGGCGATCGTAACATGTTCTAGAACTTCGTAAAATCACATACTGAGCCCATTGTCTATCAAAGGGATACGTAAATGTTATCATAGTTATAAATAATGTTACTTGTAGTTTTGCACGTGTCTTAGTGTGCTAACTTTGGCTTATGTCACGGTGCATGCTGTCGTGACTAGGTTATTAATTCAATAACAGCTTTCGTTCAGTCTATGCTTCAAGCGAATTTGCATTATTTATATTTTGTTAAGTTACTATGTTTAAACATGATTTTTTACATGCTAATGCTGTTTTAATATACGTGTGTTGCATTTTTAAACTCATCATAAAATGTACAAAATAGTAAAACAATGCTTCTGTTTTGTTCTCAAACAAAAAGGAATTAATAATCTAAATGCTGTCTTTAAAAGGAACCGTTTGTAAAGAAACCAATGTTATTTCCATCGATATCGATAAATTAATAATGCATTAACATTCGATAGTTAAACAACGAAGTGAAGAAAGCCCGCCAACTCGTTAATCACATCCAACTTTGAAACATAACTTCGCCAAGCTTGTGCAAACTTTATCTTACTTAGGTAATAATTAATGACATTATACGGTTTTCTTACAATGTTCTTAATAAGATATGCAATTAAATTATTAATTATGATTTAAATGTTTTAATTAAGTGCTACTAATAATGTTGAAATTTGTATAATCTATATGTTCTAAAGCTCGCAAAGTTTAAGTTGACTGTTTTTGCCCCGTCTATTCAAATATTACGTTTCCTTAATTAAGTTACTTCAAGATAATTAAGAGATTTCAAAACTTTAGTCAGAGGTAATAGTAAAATGTTTTTTCCTTTAAAATTTAGTCGCTTTGCTTTAATTTGTATTCACAATATATTTGTACGCGTTCGTGACTTGATTGCTGTAACCGCAGCGCGAAGTAAATTTTACTTTTTCTTTTTCACGATACGTTTGAGTAATCAACATTCAATGCGTGCTATTTCAACGTTAAATCACTAAGCTTAAGTCGTATTGAATATACGGGATTATGAGTTAAATTTATAAAAACCCGTTTTTACATTTTTAGTGAACTGTAAGTCAAATTGTAAGTTAATAATATACATCTTTTATTACTAGTCCTGTAATCCTCTACAGAAATGGTTCTTTCGATTTATTATAGTCAGATTAGTTTTATGCAGTTGCCTACACATTATCTATCTTATGATGTATTTCATAAAATTGCATTTTAAACCATGATGTGCAAATTACACTCAAACCTCCACCCACTTCAAAGTTCTCTTCTCGCCCTGGTGAAAGTTTTCATGAATATTATAAAGTTGTAAGAGGTTCTTTGTGTTCGTTACTAGAAGAAAATATGACGCGCGAAAAAATGTTTAAAAACACAGTGAAGCCTATAACGATTGGATTAAAAAGAATAAATAGAAGCGTTAAGTCTGTCTCGTTTGCTTTAAATAATTGATTTACCTAAAGTATTTGTTAATATTTTGTCTTTAAAAAGTTAATAACAACGAGCTACTATTTCATGGAATGCGTTTTTTTTATTATTCATCACTGAGTAACATAGGCTACGATTTTACATTTTTTTTTTAATTTCACGGGGACGAAGTCGCGAGCAACAGCTAGTTTTCAATCAAACAAATGAATGTTTTTGAATCGTTTTCCCAATTTTTGTTTTAGCAATATCCTTTATGTTTAAAATGGCTAGTTTACAATGCGTTATTGGTCTGTTATGCTTTTGCATCTATAGAGTAAATAGCAATCCAACAAAAGCTTCGACTGTCCAATTTGGCATTTTGTGTTCCCGTTCGTTAGTCGGATTAAAAAACCGTGACAGCGTTGAATGGCTGAAATCTACGTCACTTCGTAATTAAACAGGTTTTCTTTGTCACTAGCTGCCGTTTAAACTCAACGAATTGTGGTTAAGCGAGCTATGGTATTTAACAAGTTGTGCTGTTTTTTTAACGATAACCCGCCATTAACATTGTATATGTTTCCAAAAAAGTTTTGTTGCAGTTAATTCGTTTGTCGTAGGATTATAGGACAAATTTCACAACAGTGTGAATTAATTCTCTTGTTGGTCACCTCTCTGTTAATATATATTTTTTAGTAAACGCAGATACTTCCTGAAAAGGAGTTTTTATTATTCCGCTCACGTTGCTTTTAGTGAATAGGATTGTTCAACAGCCGTTGTTGTAGCCAAATGTGTTCCAGTTAGATGTTCCCATTTATTATTTTGAATTGTTAAAATTATTGTTTATTTTTTTATGCATTCGGCCTAAATTACTAATAGGACATGTTTTTGATTTAACAATACAAAAAGAGTATAAATAGTACAGTGAAACCTGTTCTAAAACATGCAAAATAAAAAAAATCTTACCTGTGATCTTATGCGTTATTCAATAATTTCTGTTTTTCTTTTTACTTTCATTACAATACATAGGATCTAATTGCTTTTCTTTTCTGTCTAGATTTTGACATTTTATGCATATTGCTTTTAGCCTGGGTATTCAAAACATTTCTTTGAAATACTGCATGGATGAGAGCGTTGTTGTTAACAATGAAAATTCTATGCACTCATTTTGCAAGCCGGGAACAATATCTACAAGGAATTTACGAGTATGTCGTGTGATCGTACATGACTGGTATGCTATGAATTTGTTTACTTACATGATATTAAGTGCCTTGCTTAACTTTTCCATAAAAACTTCTTAACTTTTTTTATAAATGTGAGCAGCGACAAATCGACGCTGGCGACAGCTTATGTGTTTG